GTACAGGTGTGAGAGGAGGCAGGTACAGGTGTGAGAGGAGGCAGGTACAGGTGTGAGAGGAGACAGGTACAGGTGTGAGAGGAGGCAGGTACAGGTGTGAGAGGAGGCAGGTACAGGTGTGAGAGGAGGCAGGTACAGGTTGGGTCTAACCCTGTCTGTGTCTGTGCTTTAAGGGAGACGTGTTATGACTGATCAGTGTGTTTACCTTCTTGCTGGAGGCTGTGCTTTGTGTTTCCATCGTGGCTGAATAGTTCTGGAGGTATGTGGGATCTCCTGGACTGGGTTCTAGGGGCAGGATGCCATAACTGGACACACAGTCACACATTACAGAGGAGTCAAAAAACCAGAAGGCTCTGACATTAGGGCAGGGATAAAATGATTTAATCAATCWTGAATCGATTTCATTTAAATTTGGGAAAATTGATTCACAGGACCTGAGATCAATTCTTGCTCATGGCGTCACGTGTGCGTGTCTGAAACATGTTTTTAGTGCTGGTCGGTATGACCTCAGATTCATAGCAGGGTATAAATTGAATCCCTTCACAGTAACGGATATCACAGTGGAAAATTATCATAAAAAGCAAAGATCATGTCATTTTTACAGTTTTTATTTAGCAGAAAACTGTCATCATAATCAAACCCAGTATTTTTGCTGTAGTGCAAATGAACATAACAGAAGTACAGAAGAATGTTTTATATATAATGCAAAACAGTTTCAACAACAAAAACATTTCTCAAATTTTCAACAATATCAAAATAAAGYGGATGTTCTAACCAGAACTTCAAGTAAAATGACTCATTTAGACATAAAAACAGTCACAGTTGACATCAAATGTCTAAAATGTTATAGTGTGACAGGACCTGAAGGACCTTAACGGGCTTCAGCTGCACATTGTCCTGTCATAAAACTATTTCACATAACTGTAATGGAAGTGTGGTGAAGCCAAATAAATGTAATATCTGCCTGCCATACATGAGCTTCTGCCTGTTGAACTTATCATCTGCTCTCAGAGCAGAAGATGGATTTATGACTGAACGAACGTCCACATCTTTTTATCATCTCTATGGGTAACAACATAAAAATCAAAAAGAAAAAAATTGTATAGGTCTTCTGGACGGGTTCTTCTCTAATGAAACGTTTCGTCTCTCCTCCAAGAGACTTCTTCAGTCTGAGAGTTTCAGGCGAAATTCAGGCTTTTAAGCCCTGCCTCCATGTGGTTATTCCATATGTTGCGGGTGTTTCAGAGAAACTGAGACGTTTATTTTCTAAACATGATGTCCCAGTAGCTTTCAAAC